CTGTGAGTAGTAAACAGCCATCAGTGTGCTAATGATCCATTGTTAGGGGTCGCCACAGCGAACTAAGTCACACGAGGACTTGGAAGTTATTTTTATGCCGGATGTCCTTCCTGACACAACCACAGACCACTGAGCTACCACAGCCTCTGTGTGGAGAAGAGAGCTGCTATCTAGAACACCCGGAGGAGCAGATGGTGGGGGTTAAGGGCCTTGCTCAAGGGCCCAGAGTGGGATGAATGAGGGTGGGGGAAGGTGTGAGTGCTTCACCTACCCCACCCACATTTTTGATGATGTCGGTACCGGGGCTTGAACCGGCGATACTCTGATCACAGGCCCACCTTCTCTAACCTCTGTGCCACCACTCCCCCCTTGAAGCTAACATTATTACCTGTGAAATACTTATTTATAGTAATTCATCCTACTTGCACCATTATATTCGACCATGCTGTTGTTTACTTTTTTGGGGGATCTTGTAAATATATTTCTTTTTCACTTTTAATAATTTTAATCACATGCTTAAGTATTTCTCGTTTTTCTTTAGCGAGTTGAATTGATTCTTCTCATCATTGCATTGTTGACCTTGTGTTAACCTGCATTATCATCATCATATATCCTGCATTGCAGAGAGTGGTGAAGGCTGCACAGAAGTCTGTTGGAGTCAGCCTCCCCACCATCAGACATTTACACCTCCAGATGCAGGGAGAGGGCCACCTGCATCATGAAGGACCCCACTCACCCAGCACAAAATCTTTTTGCCCTGCTCCCCTCAGGCAGAAGGTTGAGGACCATTAAGTGTAGAACCACTAGACTGAGGAACAGCTTCTACCCTGAAGCTGTTAGACTCATGAATCTCTAGTCATGATTATCACTGTGAAAATTACTGTGAAAAAAATCACTGTAATGCCACTTGATTGTTGAAATGTGCTGCTGACTATCCATGCTGCTGATTTATTTCATGCTGCTGTGTTCATTCGTACTCCTCTGCTCACACAGACTCATGTTCGTGCTGCTGTTGTTCGACGTATTGTTTTTGCCCTATTAAGTGTTTAGTGTATTCTTAGTTTAGCGTATTTCTTGGGTCATATCTTAGATCTTATTACTGTTTTTCTTTTACAATTTATAATTTTGTTGAATGTAACCCTGTGTACACAATTTCGTTCCACCTCATGTATCACATGCCATGCAAATGACAATAAAGATCCTTGACCTTGATATAACAAATAAACAGCCACAATAGTCAACTGTTTTTCTGTAAATTAACTTAAAAACCCATTAAAATGTCATCTGTTGCTAAATAACCTAAACTTTTTTTTTTTTCAGCAAACAATAAAAAGTTGCTACATCGCGTATGCACAGCGGTGTCACGTGACTCCAAGCGGAAGCCTCCTGCAGCCACCGGAAGTGCAGAAGAAGAACAGTTTCCGGTTGCTGGATGTTTTGGTTGCGATTTGTCTGGTCTGTCAGCTCCTCTCTTCGTCCGGTTCGGTAAGGTTTGGTTCGGTTCTTCCGTCTCCCTCATGGCCTCCAGACGGACCGACAGCTTCGACGGGTTCGGTTACCGAGGTCGTGATGACCCGCAGCACCACTGGGTCAGCACGCCACCGGATATCCCGGGCAGCCGGAACCTGCATCCTGGAGCCCGGACACCGCTGTACGACGAGCCGCAGGCTGAGCAGGGAGGCCCCGGAGCCGGCTACGAGGTTCAGGACCGACCCGGTGTCCCACCTGGAGGTAGGAGGAGTCATGGGGGGGTTCTGAAGTGAGCAGGAAGGTCATGGTGCGTTCACTGACTGTAGATGTTCTGACTCGGGGCTCGTTCACTGACCTGTTTGGATCCTGAATCCGAACATCTGCAGAGCAGGGATAGTGTCAGTTCTCATCCTGTTCTAGGTGAACCTGACCCAGATGCAGTTTTAGAAGGAGTTGAATCTATACCTGCGGCCGAGGACCTCCTGCTTCATGTTCAGTCCTCAGAAAATCCTGATCCATCTTGTCCACACCAGAGCCTGGCCTCAGGTTCTTGACCTTTGACCTATGGACCAGTACAGTTCCTGATGCTCAGACAGGTCTGGTTCTTAAACATCTAGCTGTGGTTTGTGTAAATCTGTCCCTCTCCCTGACTTTGACCTTGTTGTCTGACGATGATGATCTTCTTTTATTTGATGAATTTCATTAGCGGTTGTTCTGGATCCACTGCAGGTGTAAAAAGATCCAAACCATTCAGGTGGCTAAACAGGACCCAGTTCTCCCATCAGGGACCAGACTGTGAACATGAATGCTGTCAAACTGACAACAAACACTTTATGAGACAAAATACCACATTTAACTTAATGCCTGACACATCCAGGTGGGATTTAAAGTTATTAATTTAAGAACAACTTCTTGAATTAAAGACTTTCCCAGTGGGTGGGGCCAAACAGTCATATACATAGTTCCCATGTGACGTAACATCAGGGGCATTTCTGGTACGTCCTCCATGTTGGGAGGCTGCTTCTAGCAGCAGGTACAGATACAGCACAGTTTACCGGAAGTTAATTTTCTCGAGGTTTTTCCTTCTTTCTTTAAGTAAATTGCAATGGTTGTTTCGTGCTGGGTACGAGGATGTTACAAGCGGGGAGACATTTGGGCAAAGTGCAGTTTTCACTTAATCCCAAAAATATGGAATTGTAAATGGTAAATGGACTGTACTTATGTAGCACCTTTCTATCTTATTTCAAGACACTCAAAGCACTTTACACTACAATCTGTGTCCTCATTTACCCATTCATACAGCACTCTACTAGAAATAAATTGGTAAATATCTTATTACATAATAATAGATATATTTTTAAGATAATGTGTTATCCATTTTTTTAGTATATATTTTTCAAGGCTGTTTTATCTACATTGCTCTGTATAATTTGATGACACCTGTTCCATGCAATCTACTTTAAATTATAATTTCTTTCTGAAACCTTACCTGAATAAATCTAGGCTTTTTTGTCCATGTGAGATTATCTCAGTGATACACATATTATTACACCAAACTGTCAAAGCAGCAAAACGCAACTATTTCTTATCTCAGACCTCCAAAAATCTAAATGACAGGGTTTTACCTGTACCTTAAATAAAACACAAGGGAGACAAGAATGAGATTTCTAGAACGTATCTTTGCAAAGAGGGACAGCGTTCGACCGAAGTCAGAACAAAGTCCAACTTGTTTCAGCGTGCGTTCCTTTTTTATTCAGGCAAGTAGGAATGGCAAACATTCAGGCAAGTAGGGATGGTAAACAAGAAACACAAGATCTGGTGGTTTTCAGGTAACATAGACGTGGCAGTTTCTATCAAAACAGGAACAGTGAGTTTCCAACAAGTCAGTAAAGAAAGATTTCACAGCATTATAGAACAGTTTAAATAAGTATAAGTTTAAACGATCAATAGATAGAGTAAAATACTCTAACACTAAATGACACTAACAGATTCTGGAAAACCATCAAATCTCTCTCAGGCACCCCCCAATCATCTGACCTCCCATCACAACTTCTTGTTAACTCTGTTCCTGTGTCAAATAAGCATGAGATCCTGAACTGTTTCAACATTTTGTTGCTTCTAGTTCTTTATTTGACACAGTTACTAATGGAAAATCAGCCACTTCACTTAATAACCAAACTTCTACAAATCAAATCCCTCCTACAAGTCAATCCTCAGTTAATCACAGCTTCTCTTTTTCTCCGTTCTCAGTCAGTGAGGTCAATAAACTGTTAAAAGATCTTGATCCTAAAAAATCTGCAGGTCCAGATGAACTTCCACCTTATTTCTTAAGGCTGGCTGCTCATATCATCACAGTCCCTGTGACCCACATCTTCAATATCTCCATAAGACAAAACTCCATCCCAGACACTTGGAAAACAGCCTTTGTTCTTCCTTTGCTGAAGGGAGGTGATCCCACCTCACTGAACAACTATCGACCAATCTCTAAACTCTATCAGTTTTTCTAGAACCTTGGCTAAAATACAAACTCTCAAATCAAAAATTACCTGGACTCATTTAACATCTTACCTCTCCATCAATCTGGTTTCAGGAAACAACACAGCACAACCACTGCTTCACTGAAGGTTCTTAATGATGTTGTTGAAGCACTGGATGCTAAGGATTATTGTGCTGCACTTTTCTTAGACCTGTCTAAAGCTTTGGACACTGTGGATCATAACATCTTGTGTCATAAACTCTCAGAAATTGGTTTCTCAGATCACACCATTGGTTGGTTCTCTAACTATCTTTCAGACCGGAGGCAATGTGTTCAAGGCTTTCCAACTTTTGAATTCTGCATTCAACATCATCCAGACTGATTTGTTTCGCCTCAAACTTGTCCTAAATGCCGACAAAACCAAAGGGATGCTTTTTTCAAATAGGAAGTTGGTCCCAGCAGTTCTTCCTCCGATTTTATCCTCAAATGGTGTCCCCATTGAGTTTGTTGATTCCTATAAATATTTGGGTATCTTGGTCGACTCACATCTCTCTTTTAAGCACCATGTGGAAAACTTGGTAAAGAAACTGAAAGTTAAACTGGGTTTGTTTTTCAGAAACAGATCCTGTCTAACCCTGAATGCTAGAAAACACCTTGTATCTGTGACTTTCCTTCCCTCCATTGATTATGGTGACATTATTTACATGAACGCTCCTACAAGAACCCTGCAGATGTTGGATGCTGTCTATCATGGTGCACTAAGATTCATAACTGGCTGTGATTATCGTACCCACCACTGCACCCTGTATTCACTGGTTAACTGGTCATCATTAACTTCACGCAGACTCTCTCACTGGTACATTTTCATCTTTAAATCACTTCTTGGTCTGCTGCCTTCATACATCTCCTCCTACATGTCTCTGCGTGAGTGCAGCTACGGCGTGCGCTTTCAGGACATTATTACCTGCAGTGTTCCCTCAGTGAGGACTGAACTTGGCAAAAGGGCCTTCTCCTACTCCGTTTCCTGGAATATCTTGTAAAAAGATTTGAAGCTCTCGACCTTGACCTCTCTAAGTGACTTCAAACATCTGTTAAGTTCCTGGGGAAAACCATTGCAGACATGTTCCTGTTTTTATCCTGATGCATGCTCAATAATCCAGGTAGAAAAATCTAAAAAAGTTAAATCTGGTCCTCTGGACATTCAAAAAAAAAAAAAAAAAACAAAGCAAAACAACAAAAAATGTAGAAACGTTTCGTCTCTCGTCCGAGAGACTTCTTCAGTCTGAGGTGCTGTTTTCAGCTCAGTCTCTTAAATAGCACCTTCTCAGAGTGGATCAAATGTCCAGAGGACCAGATTTAACTTTTTTAGAGTTCCTGTTTTTAGTTTTCTACACCGCCTTATAATCTAGCTGTTTTTGTTTAGTTTTTTTAATGTAATTTTCTTCCATTTATTTTTTCTATTTATATGCTTTCTTTTAAGATTGTCTACTGTTGTCATCATTCTTTGTCAGTTCTCATCAGGTCTCTCTTGTAAATGAGCCTTCGAGGCTCATTGAGACTAACCTGTATATATAAAGGTTAAATGAAAAAAAAGGTGTAACGATGTGACTTTTGCCTTTAATGAGCTTCTGTCTGTGTTTGGGTTTCAGAGCAGCTGAACCGGTTTGCTGGCTTCGGGATCGGACTCGTCAGGTACAGATTATAAATGTTTTGACCCTAATCGACTGATTAGTGTTTGATTTGGTTTGTTTGTAGAGAAACATCAAGAACTTTTTTTACCATTACAGTTCCCTTCAAGGGTTTCAAAATAAGACAAATAATTCTGTGTGTGTGTAGTCTGTTCACAGAGAACGTCCTCGCCCACCCCTGCATCGTCTTCCGCAGACAGTGTCAGGTATCAGCTGCCTTCTGATCAATCACACATCAATATATTCACTGATCAAAAACTGCTGCTGCTGTGAATCTGCTGCTGCTCTCTGATTGTCTGTTTGTCTCAGGTGAACTACCATGCCCGTTGTTACCATCTGACTCCGTTCAGCACCGTCTTCGTCATGTACTCCATCTCCAAGGCTCAGGTACTGACAGATATCCTGATCACACAACTAATATCCTGATCACACAACTAATATCCTGATCACACAACTAATATCCTGATCACACAACTAATATCCTGATCACACTATTAATATC